ATGATGAGCATCTTCCGCATCTGGATAATACCACCTAATGAGGCGCGGAACAATCCACCGATGGGCACTCGCCCGGGTGTCAGTCCCATATAGATATCCAGCCCAGAGGAGAAAAACGATTGATGTTCCGAGAAAATATCTCTTCACTTTTCCACCAGGAGGCTTCGCGACTTCTGCGGCAGCGCCACGTATTGGAGAAGGCGACGAAGTTGAGGATATGCTCCTTGAGCCAAAAGGCAAATTTGACCTGCATACCGCGGGGCCTCGACTAAACCGTGCTGCAATGGAACATCGGGAGGCATGGGGCGCACCACTGCGGGACATCGCTCCTAGGATTAGGAGTGGAGACCGCGGAAGGCGGCCATTGCCACCGGGTATCATTGGTAATACGGCTAGGAATATGCGCTATCAAATTGCCATTGACGATGTGCCAAAATTTCCGAATGTAAACGAGAGTGCTGTTAAAGGGTTAACATCTCGCCCAATATTTATTCCATGAGACGACAGTAATTCAAGCAAAGTTAGAATATACTAAAAAGTAGAGCAACGTATTTTAAAGCAAAATGGTAATTAAAACAGTCAGTTTTTTAAGATTGGCTGCCTTCATCTCATCATAGTGACTTTTGAGCGAGGTTAGACTGATGAAAACTACCAAGGATGCCGTCGAGCGCAAAGACGCAATATCACAGACAATTAAGACAGGACATAATATCAAATAACGCACTTACACGGTATATGGTCCAATGGGTGTTCTGGGCCTAATTAACGCTGCAATGCGTGATATCACCGCTGTCTCCCTGAAAATAGAAATTCGACGCTGGAAGGTCATTTCTGGAGCTCTGCTTTGAGGTCAGCCATGCCGGTGACGGAAATATTTTTCACCGTGATATTCTTGATCACAGCATCAAATCATTGTCGTTCACAGATGCCCTCTTTCCAGAGCCCATTCCTATCACCGATAGAAAATAGTCCTTACTCCAGCCGCTTATTTGGGTCTCAAAAAAGGTGTGCATGTCCCTTCCAGAGGGCTTTTTTTTTTTTTTTTTTTTTTTTTTGGCAACACCACAGTTATGGCAAGTAGTGCATCATAACTTCCAATCGACACAATGGTTTTTATTCATACAGCCATTCCAGGATATGAAATCCCAAGTGCGAGGCCATTCATTACCAGTTGGCGAAAGTAAGATCTGTCAAAATGCTCCATCGGCGACCATGTGGATGGGATATTCGGTGTGCGCCCCGACGAGAATATCCCAGGATCTCTCGACAAAGGGGGCCCTTCTCTTGCAATATAGCGGGTAAGGCTATGTATGATCTTACACGAAGATATATTTGAAATCTTTCTGCTCTAGGTTCATGAAAGTTTTATAGCCTCCTGTTGCCGCAGAACGGGGTTCTTGTCCTTCCAGAGGCCTCAGATCTAATGGCAAAGGCTTCAGGCAATTTAAACTCTGCTCTACCGTTGCAGATGACTAGATCTGATGCCTCGCGTCTTCTCTCTGTTGCCTCAACGCACTCCTCCAGGCTCTTGGATTACACTTGGTGGAAGAACAGAATTTCATTTTCGTGACCCCATCGGGCCAAATATCACTCTCCAAAGTTCGAACTATGTTGTCACCAATTTGGCAATTTCCAGCTGTTAGAAATTCCATAAGAATGAATTTGCTGATATACTTATGTCGACATGACTCATGCCGAATCCAATTGTGCCCAATGTCAATGAGATACTCCGTAGAGTGGATGGGACCGAAATTGGAATTCTACATGAGTGGAAATTCCCTTGAGTGCTGTCTTGTTCACAATACAAGCAATTTCGCATTCCGTGTCAGTCCATCCACTCTGCCATTGATGGAGACCTTAGCGAATCAAATTCCTCCTTCTGCTGTTGCGCATATTACTGTCTCCATAATGGCGGATGTTTATAATGCCGACCTTGCTGGAAGGCGAAATACATCCATTCTACTTCATTTTTGCAATTGCGCAATGCTATTTGAACATGGAGTGATATCCATGTCTCTACCTACGAGAAGCTAACTTCTTGTCCACCCCAAGAGAGGCACTTACTAGAACGGGTGGTTCTAATATCTGAATGCGCTTCCAACACTGGGCCATCTTTCAGTCTCTATAAAGTATGTTTCGGGTCATTCAATGGCTACTATATTCTGATATCTTCATCGCCATGGAGACCTGAATGGTTCATCTTCCAGTCTAAAACCTGGAGACCGCCATCGAGAGGCTTGGAGGCTAAAGATGTACTGTACATACATGCAGTGGAGAATGAAACCTCATGTTCTCATTCATATGCTTAAGAGAACGTACTGATATGAATTCCTCCTATATCAATGACTACTTCTCATCGCAAGGATTCACCGACGCGGCTTCCTTCCCTCCGTGGTGGAACTTCTGTGGCGGTGAAGTCCGTGAGGGAACCCGATTATTTACCCATTTGGTTTCTGCCCTTATTGCTGACACCAATGGATGAGGCTTAATTCCATGGTGATTTTTGAGGACGGAATGATACGCCTCCCACGACCCCAGAGCCGATATTGACCTGTTGGATACGTTCACATGGTGGCCTCATCGTAGTAATCGCATGCGCAACTACGGCTTATTTGTCTTAGTGCCTGTAGAAATTATGGGGTGACATGAGATCGCTTTTCCCACAATCATCATCAGTGGTTTCCGCTTTGGCCAGCGACTCTAGGGAATATTTTGTTTTTCATGTTTTAGACCATCTCACCTTAAGTCGTAAGAGGACATACTGTGTTCTGTTTTGCTGAACCATACATAAAGGGCATGGCTCTATAAACCTTTCACAACATTGATCTGATGGCCTGGAGCAGAGAAATGTGATGCTTCCAGATTGGGAAAGATGAATATCAACTCAGATTGGCAGCCAGATAAGTTGTCCGACAATATATTCTCTCCTCTACCAGCACATAGGAACCGGTATTGAAAGGTATATGGATATGTATTCATGTTCATATGGTTTCTTGCTAAAAATAAGGATATTTAGTTCTATACCACGAATGTAGTCTATTGACTCACTATTATTCCGCTAAGTCCAATCTCCACTAATTTACTTCTATCTATTGGACTTTTGCGTCATTCAGGCTGGGAAACGGAGGAAGATATTAGTAACTAGAGATTCTGGATTCCTTCCAGCGATTTAGGATCTATCAACCCTTACGTTGCCATCATTACTCCGTTCCAAACACACCAAAGACATTTATACCAAAATTTCTCCGTGAAACCTTCAACCTCAGGATGGGTGGGGTATGACAATTCAATATCAGAAGAGAAAACAAATTGAAGCAAAAGCAAAAAATAGTGAAAAGCACACAGTCCATGAAAAAGCCAACAAATCACTTTTTGATACCCGCCAACAACAGTTGCCAAAACTCAAATATACTTACCTGAGGTCAAGTCATCAGCGAACACATGCATCTCCAGCCAGAAGCGTAGTTCAAAAGTTCACCCCCACGCTAGTATGTTGATCGTGGAACCTAATAGGCTGATATAATTTTCAGTTCCAGATTTATCAACGTCCCTTCAAAAATAGTTGATCATCAGGGCCTTCTTAAATGACAACTTGTAAAAATGAAAACCATCAATGTCCCAGTGCGAGAATGTGAAAGGCGCTGCTGAATTTGCCTACAGTTTTTCACATTCCACGTCTTCGTGACTGCGGAAATATATGGGCTGATTTTTCATCCAACCAAGGAATCAATCCGGTTCATAGTCTTAACAAGGTTGAGGTTCTTTTCTGAAATACGAGGTTCAGAGGACAGGGCCAACAAGGAAGACCAATATGCATGGATGGGTAAGCAATGAAATGAAACTGCGCCTCATACCAGGTGAGATCTTATATCGAATATCTCAATTCTCTGAATAAAATATGATCAGCAAGTGGCAAAAAAAAAAAAAAAAAAAAAAAAAAAAAAACCAAAAAACCAAAAAAACCAGTTAACGAACTGACCTTCCTTACGCTAAAAATGCATGAAACCTCAGTAAAGCGCTGTAAAAAAGTGTGAGCACTCTCTCTTCCTCTTCAATAGCCAGGGAACAGGCAAATCCTCGTGATCTCTTACCAATCATGCAAGCCCAGTTTCAAACATGGCTGTCTTAATCACTTTTTGTCGCTTCAACTCTCATGCTGCAAAAAAAACCAGAAAACCAGTCGTGGAAAAAGCAAAGAAAAACCTTATGGTATTACTTGCAGCTGAGACGACAAAAATCCCGGCAAGACATCAAAATTGAACCCGAAAAAAAAAGGAAACAGAACAACACTTGATTTCCTCATCCTGATCAGCTCAATTCCAAATCTATGAAAGAATGCTGCTGCATCCACAGCATTTAAATGAATCAACACAGCTTCAAAAGCTAGATTGAGAGGCCCCAAATCTACCAATTACAAGGTAGAAGAGTCGAGTGCGACTGACGCACGATCACGTGGTGAGAAAAGTCGGTGGATTGGCAGATTATCCCATCCGCAAGCAAGGGTGCGCCTCGTTTCTCACAGGCACTATCCTTGCGAAGTTTGTCGTGGAATGGTAATTATGATTCGCGGGCGCGAATTCCTCCCTGATTGCAAAGGCAGGGATGGTGGATCTGCAAAAGGAAGATGTCATTCCAATTCCTTGTTGGTTATTGCGGGGACTCTGAGATTCATTTCGTAAGGTTTGTTTCATCTTTCACCCTTGGCTCTCTTATTCTCTCTTTTGTCTTGTTTTTCCATGGGTTCTTGCCTTTTGGAGGTTACTCCTATGTGAGGATGACGATGAAAATTTCCAATAGAAAGTGTGGTACCTCACTACCATAGTGTCATTTTGCTTGTTACCTGCGCTCAAAAGTAGGAGTAGTAGTAGCACACTACAAAGTTTTAATGCTAACATTATACTGTACATCATATCATACAGAAGTTGTCTCATATCTATCCTGTGGGGAAGAGAAGGTGAGGTAAAAAAAAAAATAAATAAATAAATAAAAATAAAAAAATTCGACACGGACAAGATTCGAACTTGCGCACCCGAAGGTATGAGATGTCGAAACCATTTGCTGGTAGAACACACAGCGGTTCAAGTCTCACGTATTAACCACTCTACCACCGTGTCAATTTGTGCTGGCGTAGACCCCAGGATTAACATATCTCTTTCCGTCTCATCTCTTCCTTTGGTCCTATTTCATTAGGGGGTGGCAATAAATAAGAGAGCGCTTTTGCGACACCATTGCTAAATAAATCAGCCACTGGTAATTACTGATAAATATCAAACAATACGCTAGAACAGACGTAATAGTCCCTGGGAGAGCAGTGTGATGAAGGCGGGAGAGGAAGCTAGTGCGGCAAGTCCTAGTTGAGCAACTATTCTAGCCGTTCTTCTTTGCATTCTGTACATCATTTGTCGTTGACACAGCAATGAAGGGCTTCATAATTTCCAGGAAAATTCTTAGTACTCTTGTGGATGCGGATATATCGTTTCGGATTTGATCGGACTCAGTTCAGTATTCGCCACCATTACCATGTATGTTTGAGCTGCATCTTGGATAATGTTCAATCATTCTCCATTATTGAACTTTAAACACACACTAAAGACAAGCCGTATAGGAGAGTGATCTTCTCATGCTTTTGCTGAGGCGATGGGAGGTTTTTTTCGTTTTTCATGAACCGACTTGATTTCTGTTGAATAGTTGGAATCATCGAGATCGCTGGAATGATTTGGGCTTAGAACATAAAGAAAAGCGAAAACTATCTCCACAAGATCCCAAGAGCTTCCCCACGACATTTTCGGTCTGCAAGAGTTCCGTTTGTGTGTGGGGCATTCCTGTCGATGCTGCTGAGAACCTTTCTCAGAGCAGGGAGGGGGGGAAATGTTGCCATGTGTTTGAGACCTCAAAAATCAAACGTATTTCCTGTATGCTTTCCAGCTTCGTTGATAGTAGATCAGCAAAAGAAAAAATATTATACTTTAATAAAATTGTTATCCAAAATTAGCAACTTCTTCATCTTCCTGAATATACAGAAACAGATCCCTGTTCCCCTCTTGAATCCTATGTTGCTTATCTTCCACTGGTTAACCATTGGTGGGTAAAAATGGTAACATTGCCCGTATCCAACGATCCAGAGCTCCAATTTGCAGATCAGGTTAATTAAGAATTTGGGTAATTCTTTAAGGCATATTGTGCGGTGTCTGATTGGGGTCCGCAGCCTTTAGCACTGACCTCCTCCGCCTGGGACTTTCCTTCTTTGGTCCTTCCCCCAGGCCGGACCTCAAGACCCCCGGAATCCCCCAGTTATGCGGGGCGTTCCCGGTAGGCCCATGGATCCAGCGACACATCCTTCAAGAGACCGGGAGTGGGGGGTGGGGGGCGGGGCGGGGGACAGCAAGGTCAAGAACAACGCCCGAGAAGATCCGTCCATTTGATCGAAATTTAAAACTATTGCTCCAGTATCTTAGGAGGAAGAGGTTCCAAAAGCTCTTGCCATGATCATCATCTTCAAAAATATCGTTGAAAAATAACTTCCGCATCGGATCGTATCTAGCCCTTGGTGGCGAGGAGTGTGCCACGGGGCGAATAAAGTTGCGTGCCCAATGCCTATACTGCGTAGTCCTTGTAAACAACGCAGTAGTGCAAAGAATCTGTTTTCAATGGAGGAATAATCCTCTGGTGCCGTTGAATACGAATCCAAGGGCTTGTTGACTGGGCTAATGTAAGGGCTCGCCAGCAAATTATCATTGCGAAAAAGGAAAAGAAATGAAAAAAAAAAGGAAATAAATCCCTCGCGAAGCTCATATCGCGATTGTTTCAACGGCCGTGGGATATTTATCGTCTTGATACACGAGCTGTTGAGAATTCTGTAAAAAGTTTCTATGTAAAATCATGCCAGAATGATTTTCTATAGCCCAAGCAAAAGGTCGGGGGACATCCTACTGGAATTTATGTCACATACTTTCTGATCCTCAAGAGCTTTTGCTTGATGATCGATGAGCCCAATCAGAGTCTTGGTGGATTCCCGTGGACCATGTCACATGTATTGGTAATTTATGTGTATGGAAAGTGCTTGATTAACTCCTCTTTAATTAAGAGTAAAGGGTTGATCAGGATCGTTGTAGTCTCTTCAGATGAAGGGAACAATAATCTGTGGCTAAATATGGTAGGTATCCCTTTTTGAAGCCAACTTCGACTATTTTTTTTTCTTTGGATGGTCAGAGATATTGAAACTCTTAGTCAACAGACGCAAACCGTCAGTTCCACCCCTAGAGACTTGTATATTAGCCCTGACGAGAGATGGTTAGGTATGGAGAGATACTTCAGCTGATATACAACGGTTAGCTGGCACAGACATTGCCAACCCCGATAGATAAGTCTGATATTGTCACGGTATGGTGTCTATGGAAGGTGTTTGAGTAGCCCACACTAAACCAGCTATGGAGCCACTAATGCCGCACGGCTAGTTTTCGACGGGGAAAAAAAATAAAAATAAAATAAAATAAAATAAAAATATCCCATGGGGAGGATAATTTAGATATAACGACAGTCCCGAATTCTGTTTCATCAGCGGAATATCCAGTGAACTTTTATACAACCATTGGAATCACAGAGTACTTAATCAAAATGGGATGTGAAAAATTTCACCAACTAAGAATCCACGGCGATAAAAACCCCAACCTAGCGCCCATGTTCGCGCTTCAAGAATGGCTGTAAACTCCAGTTCTCCACCAGACTATGACAGGTGCCGAAGCGCGAAGATAGGGCATACCAGGGTAGATGGGTAAAATTAAAAAATACCTAGTTTCAACCCCAAGAAAGACAAGATGAGGAGAAGGTATCAAAGATATCGTATTCTGGGCATGTTCAAGGTGATTTTCTATGAGTGTTGATTGAGAAACTAGAGTGCACCGCAACTTCGCTTAGACCTTTCTTTACCCTGACATTGCCAACACACCGGCTGTCCGTCGGAGCCGAAACAGCTCGTCCATTCTCGTCTTAATACCGTTGCTAAGAATAGGGAGGTAGGATGCTGAACTTTGGACGAAAGGGGAATGAATGTCTCACCTATTCCTGTCTGATCCCCCGAGGCTGATTGGTGCATTGAAAACCATGCGACACAACCTAGGTAGTTTTCTGTACATATGGACTCTTCAATCCCGGATTAGTGTCTGAGCCCGCGCTGCTTTTCCTTCTGCTGACTCAGCTCTGCCTCCTCTGAGCCTCATCTGCGACCTCACCATCCTCACCTGCAGCAATCACCCCCATCAGCCTCTCCACCAGTCACTCCAACCTCATCTTTCATTATATCTGCTCGATTTTTGTCAAGTCTACGCGATGCAACCGCCCAGTGGTCAAAATGTGAGGATGGTGGTGTAACAGGTGTACTTCAATTAACAATTTGATACTATTCTAATTACAGATTACAAATTGATTAAGAAAAGAAAGAGAAAAGAAATCAGAAGAAAAGATTGTACAAAGAGGGTTTTTATAGAGAGAAGTTTGAGATGAAAGAATATCAGAAACTGCTTCACAGTGAAGTGTGAAGCAGAAGAATATTAAAAGCTACACAGAAAAATCATTAGAAACTATATAAATATAGAGTGTGAAATAAGAGAATCATTGAGAGCTATATAGAAGAATCATTAGAGACTACACAAACACAGAACACAGAGTGAAAGAACATTAGAAGCTATATAAAAGAATTGTTAGAGACTACACAAGTGCAGAGTATAAAGTGAAAGAATGTTAAAAGCTATATAAAAGAATCATTAGAAACTATATAAGCACAGAGCACAGAGCAAAAGAATATCAAAAATTATATGAGATTACAACAGTCAGAAATAAGTGAATACAGAAGAGAAGTTGATTGTGTAAATTAATTACTAACAGATACTAATTCATCATATTATCTCTTTTTATCAAAATGAATGAGGACTTGTAGATATTGAGAACAGCAGTATTCTTTAAAACAGACACAGATTCTCAGATTCAACAATTGTATTCTACTCATTTGATAAAATATTTGTAATAATGATGATTGATTTTATTGTCAAGAATTGCTTTGATTTCTCACTCAAGTTTATTATCTTCTTCTACAATAATAAATAACTGTCAATTGAAGATTCTCTGTGAGAGAAATGAATCCTCAACCACAGATCAGAGCAGATTCATATGAAAGACATCATAAATATCAGATAAGATGTTGAGTTGATAATTATATATATCTAACATTTTCTTCACTGTATATTTAATGTGATGATAATCTAGTATATATAAAAGACAGTTTATTTTTATGTTCTTGAGATTCAGTCAGACTTTGTCTTCTATATAATATTAAATTACAGAACTTCTTCTGATATTTATTTGATTTTTATAATCTTACTGAATATTAATCATTAAAGCTTCTGTTTATTTGTGAGCTTTCTTCAGCTTACTCACAATGTTCTCTGCTGTCTGTATAAGACTGCAGATGTATGTGGTTTCTTGAGAAGTTTCAGAGAAGTTCAGAATCTCTAAATTATATTCATATAGAAGAAAGAATGAGCTTATATCTATTGTAGTAAAATCTCAACTGTTAATTATAATCTCAGTATATGACAGCAGATTACTTCAGTTGTTTTGTACATAATTACAGAATTTACAGAGAATATTTTTTATCATTTATATCATTCTCTCAGTAGCTTCATCAGTCTCTGAGTGATACACTGTTGATAACTTTCATTTGATTTTTAATAATTAACATACACAGACTCAAAGTGCACTGATGAATTGACTGTCTCTATCTGATATAATGAATGAAGACAGATTATATATACAATAGAACAGACTTCTGATAAAAGCATCTGTAACTACTTCAGCATTTATCTTATCACAGAGCTGTAGTATTACATTCTTACTGAGTCAGTTGACAATGACTAGAATGTTCATAGAATCTCCACTTTCAGATAAGAAAACTGTAAAATCAATAGCTATATTATATCAAGTTCAATCAGAGACAGATAGAGGCTTCAACATCTTTTTTCAGTGTTCACATCATGCTGTCACTGAGCCACAGTGATCACAGTTGTGTACAAACTGATGTATGTCTTTCAATATATTTAGACTGATCATGTGACCATGCATG